TGTGTGTGTGTGTGTGTGTGTGTGTGTGTGTGTGTGTGTAGGAGGAGGGTGTGGCCTCCAACAGTCTGGAGGACGAGCTGGAGGTGACCACGTACTGGTGGGGGGAGTGGGCAAAGTGGACCGCCTGCACTCGAACCTGTGGAGGTGGCGTGATGTCACAAGAAAGACACTGCCTCAAACAGAGGTCTGCACACACACACACACACCTTCTCTTGATTCCCTCATGACTGTGAACTCAACATCTTACTTTTCATTAGCAGTAGATTTTGGACCTAATGTTATTATTATTATCGTTGTCGTCATTAATTCTTTACATGTTTGTTCCCAAAGAAAGAAAGTTGCTGCTGGTAAAGACAACATGACGTGCACAGGAACTGCTAAGAAGTATCACCTCTGCAACACTAAAGTGAGTCACACACTTCCCCTCTGCATGAAAACAACAACCACTTCTGATTGGCTCACAGCAGAAGACTGTGGTCGCAGCGGGAAGCTTCCCGGCCGTGACAGCACGTGGTCGTCTGAAAGCAAAGCCGGGCGGCGCCACGAGTCATCGTGCACGCTCAGAAAAACCATTTCCGAACAAATGAACACTTGCAGAGAATTTAATTGTGAACACAATCTTTTAACGGTGTCTGTCTCTGCTCTGCAGGAGTGTCCGGCCACTGGGCGGAGCTTCAGAGAGGAGCAGTGCTGGTCCTTTAACTCACAGCTTTACAGTGGGAGGAACTACCAGTGGAAACCTCTGTATCCTGGTAAAAACACTCATGAAACCTCCCATTACCTCCGGAAACACACCAGAGGTGACAGGTCTTCGCTGAGCTGCAGCATCTTTTATAGAAAGTTTGAGTTTTGAATATGATTCAATGGTTTTAAAACTGACAACAAGCTGTCTACAAACCAATCAGAGTCAAGTACAGGTAGACGACGCCCACGTTGGTGATGACAACAGGACGTACGTATGTCAGACAAAATTCTTTTGTCCCTAAATTACGATGCCAAACCAAAACTGACCAGATCAAGTGAAACAATGGAACAAACTCGTGACGCTCGTCCCATGTTCGGACCAATAACTCCAATGATCTGTGATACAAATGCTGCCCTCTTGTGGTGATGAATTTAGAAAGTGTGTGCAGTGGCGATTGTGAGGTCCTCCATAAAGAGAACTAGAACTAAGTAAGATAGAAACTTTTGACCCGTGTTTCCTCCAGACGACTATGTTCACATCTCAAGCAACCCCTGTGACCTCCACTGCACCACGACCGATGGCCAGAGGCAGCTGATGGTGACGGCTCGAGACGGAACGTCCTGCAAGTACAGCAGCTACCGCGGCGTCTGCGTGGACGGTAAGTGTGAGGTGAGTCCAGCTGCGTATTTACTTTTAAAATTTTTACTGGTTTACTTCCGACACTCAGTGCTCAGGTTGGAAGTGACGGAGGGAAATGTTAAATATTCACAAAATAACATCATCGTGTAGTCAGCCGTGAGGTCAGTCACGACCTCCGTTATCTTCTAGAAACAAAAACATAATTTAGATCTAAACACACTTGATGAAGAAACAGACACTTAATGTCAGACTCATTATTTCCAAAATAGTCAGATCTCACAAACAACTGGCCTCTGCATCGTTACCGTGTTATTACTGGTGATATCCTCTATAGTTCCACCTCCTCTGCTCTTCTGCTCAGCCAATCGGATGTGACGGAGTTCTGTTTTCCTCCAACACGTTGGATAAGTGCGGCGTCTGTCAGGGCGACGGCAGTAGCTGCAGCAGAGTCACTGGAAACTTCCGCCGCGGAGCCACGACTCTGGGTGAGCGTTATTTTAGTTCAGTTTTCCTTTAGAATTAACGTGTAATAAAAAGAGGAAATACAGAGATCAGAGGTAATTCTGGTTTGTTGTCATCCAGGTTACGCTTTTATTACTCAAATCCCTGAAGGATCATGGGACATCCAGATCATTGAGAGGAAGAAGTCAGCTGATGTTCTGGGTGAGTTCTTAAATTTCCCTGGAACTTGAATTAAAGTGGAAACACAATGAGTTCCTGGTTTCATCTGAAAGTTCGTGCAGTCGAAACGCGACTTAAGGGTCTTTGAAAATATCTCATGTGTCTTTTACTCCACAGCTGTGACCGACCAGGCGGGAAACTTCTTCTTCAACGGAGCCTACAAGGTGGACACTCCTCAGAACTTCCACGCTGCCGGCGCTGTCTTCAAGTACCGTCGACCCATGGACGTGTACGAGACTGGGATCGAGTACATCGTCGCCAAAGGCCCCATCGATCAGGCGATCAATATCCTGGTACGTCTCAGGTTATCTCCCCTCCCCCCCTTCACGTGTTCCTTCATCACAGACTGTTTAATAAGGAAGAGCTGGTTCATCTCTTTGTTTATCGTCACAAGAACCAGCAGATCGAAGGACCAACTCTGGATTTATGAACCAGACTTTGTCTTCACTCAACTTCTTCTCTTCACTCAGGTGTGGAACCAGAACGGACGAACTCCGTACATCACCTACGAATACACTGTCATGCGGGACTCCCTGCCGCCCATCCCGCCTCCTCCTGTCTACACTGGGTCCGACACCTCGGCTGGTGAGGCATCTGTGGAGGTGGGGACGCTGTTGTCCCCTAACAGCAGCGTCTATGAGCAGGTGGGCCCTCAGGGCCAGCTGGACCCGGGGGCCGCAGACGGCCAGAAGGGTCAAGAGACCAATGAGGTGTACGAGGAGGCGGCGGCCATCGACTGCGACCAGGACGGAGTGGCTGCCCCAAAGTTCACAGGTAGAGACGGATGTTGATAACAAACCTTACGATTGATTCACTTCAGAAATACTCAGAGATAAATACGTTTTTGAAACCCTCATGTTTTTGTATCAAAATATCCTCGATACGAACGCTGCCATCTCGAGCTGATGCTGTCATTTGCAGACAGAATCTGGGCAGCAGCGTTGGAGGAGGATCATCAAATGACTAACATGGAATAGGTTTATGAGCTATACTGCAGCCAGCCACCAGGGGGCGACCCACACATTTTGTTTTAACTTTCAGAGAGCCGTCATCTTTAAAAACTGGGGTCAGACATTATTATTAACGAGTTAATATGTAATCAAGTATTTTGTTTGGATTCTTTTCAGCTGATATTTAAGTTGATTCCAACACATCAGTGATCATATTGACTGAACTCGACCAGAAATAAATCTTCGGCTTCAGTGGTTTATTAGCAGACGAGACAAAATGGGTCAGATGCTCCCTCCTCTTCTCTGCCGGGTTCTCTGGACGTGTGTGCGATGGCCCTTCAGATCTTTGCATTATTCATCGGACAGAGACATAAAGGAGATCGAGAAACGATGAAAAATTCAGACTTTCGTGGTGTTTTTTCTTTTTTAAAAAACAGCTGCATTGCAAACACGAGCGGTAATGGCCTTCCTGCGGCTCTCAGCTCGCTCAGCTGACCGACCGGGGCCATTACGCCACTTCTGCCTCTGGTGCGATGAGACGGGTCTACACAGCCTGACGTCACATTACGGACACGAGTTTATCCTCTCGTCTTCCTTCTCTGTTTTCTCCTGATGCTTTTCATCCACGCTTGAAATTTCCTGCAAAAATCAGATCAACCTCAAATGTCCATGGGATGAATTTATTATCTTTCTACATGTAATACTCTGAATAAACAGTTTACTCTGTAGACGCAGAATTAATCGCACTCTTGCGTCTGTTCAGTTTCTGTGTCAGATAGAAGTTGATTCAACTCTCAGGTCAAAGTTGGATCAGACTGAATGATATTTTATCTCTGATTACAAATCTGTTGAAATGTCGTAACATTAATTCACGAGCATCGACTCCCCCGAGACGTCACCTGTTGGTTTGTGGGCGGCCATTTTGAAGCCTCAGTTTGACATTTCGTCCAGTGAAACCAGAAGTCACCAGATATGGAGGTGCAGGGGTGGAGCCCACCTATTGGACGGGAGTCACTCTGCAAACGTTTTGAAGCTCAGCTCGCTGACGTCTTCACTTCTAAACGTGTCAAATTACTTGTGTCCCTTGGAAACGGTTCATGTCCCATAACTTCAAACACTTTTCTTTGTATGAACTCTCGTCCATCAGAAGGAAACAGCAGTCACACAGGCAGCACCGTGAACCCTGCCGCTGCCGGTGGAGCCCTGGATTCAGGACCAGATTCACCAAACCTCATCTGGAGGGTCCTGCTGGACGGACGAATCAGCCCCGACGAGCTGCTCATCAACATCTCCACCAATCAGCTGCTGACTGAGGGCGGCGGCTTGTTCTTGTCGGAGCTGGGACCAGGCGACGTGGACCTGAGCAGCCTGGAGCGAGAGTTTGGTCTGAACGAGACGCTGGAATTCACTCTGGGCCGCAAACGCAATGACAGCAGAGACACGGTGTACCAGAACAAGACGGTGCAGAACGCAGGGAGGACGTCCAGCCGCTCCAACAGAACCAGGTAATCCAGCAGCATCAGGCAATCTGACTAAACCAGACCCAGGTTTAACTTGACTGAACCATATCATTCAAAAACCACATGATCCAACAGAACCAGGTGATTTAACAGAAACAGAACCAGGTGACCCAATGGACCCAGATAATCCAACACAATTAGGTCATTTAACAGAGCCAGACAACTCAAGAGGCCAAAGGTGAGAAGGACATAGTTTTCAGATGATGTATGAAGGTCCTCCGTCAGTTTGGACTCAGAAAACAGTTTCCTCTCTGATCTGTTTGAATTATTTTAGAGTCAAACTGAACCTCGATGTTCAGACACTGTCGAGCTGCTGGTTCTGTATGAGAGACATGTTGGACAACGCGGTTCTCCTCTGAAGACGTCCTCACAGAGGAGACAGACAACAGGTGAAGGAGGTACTGTGGTGATACAGTACAGACAGTAAGAGCAGACAGACAGACAGGTCGTCCAAGCAGCTTTTACATTCATCATATTTATAATTCATGTCCCTGCTCCGTGTCCAAACACAGCTTCAGCAGCTCTGCAGCCAGTCGCCGTAAAACACCCGACACGCCCTCCGCTCTGCTGCGGACGACACACTCACAAACAAGTAGCTCAAGGTATTTGCAGGAAAAGTGAAAAATATGATGCGAAGGGGGGAAAGTGAGCTGTCGGACCGTGAACACCTCTGGAGAGGAAAACATGTGATGAGGTGTAACTCAAAGTTTTCAAATAAACGTCTGGCAGCTGTCGGAGGGAGAGTGACCGGCGTTATGACAAGAATGTGCACATGACTTTAATGTGATGAACAAAGTGAGAGCGTCGTCGTCTGCTGCGACGTTGAATCAGCTGAGTGATAACTGGGTGTCCTCTAATGTCCTGAGACCAGTTTCTCACTAAGGTTTGTGGAGCCACACAAACTCCTGCAGAGTCTTTACATGAACGTGTTCCAGTCGTATCTGACAAAAATGTGGTGAGATTCTTGTATGACACACAAATAAATTCTGCTGCAGACACAGTTTCTTTTGCTTATACAGTGTGTGTGTGTGTGTGTGTGTGTGTGTGT